TATTGCCTTCATTTTATAGACAGGTAAGCTGTGTTACAGAGACATAAGAAAGTCACCCAAGGTCACTTAAAGTGCTACAGAAACAGAAGAGGGAGAGTCATTTATTCCTAGGAAGGGTGCGGCAATCGGGAAAACTTCATGGAAGAGGCAGCAGCAGAACACCCCACCGCCACCACCTTGCGCACACACACTGAACTGTTTAAGGTATGTGCAGTGTGTGCCAGGCCCCAAGGAAGCAGTTTCTCCAGAAGACCAGAATGCTCTTTCCTCAACTACAGGTGAACCGTGAGCGTCTCCATGGATACGCACTAACCAAGAGGCCCCAGGGAGGAGGGGGGAAGCACGGAGGTGGGGGTGGGGCGGGATCGTGCCGATTCTGTGGCTCCTGGGGGCGACTCAGCGGAGGAACACCAGGTAGTCGGTCTCATAGGATTGGGTGGGCGCAAGCAGGTGGAACCAGTCAAACTTCCCCACCGAGAGTTCTAGAAGGCGGGCAGCTAGCGAGATGCTTCTGCAGTCAGCCCTCTGTTCCAGGATTCAGCCTCCTCAGGTTCTTTGTCCATGGATTCAACCAACTGCCCGCTGAAACTACCAGGGGGAAGACTCCCAACTCTGCTAAATACGTGCAAACCTTTTTTTTTTTTTTTTCTTTTGTCATGATTCCCTAAACAACCATGTAACACATCCCTCTTCCCATCCAAACCCACTGGCAGTCACTGCTCTGATTTCTACCTCTCTAATTTTGTCATTTCAAGAAAGGGGCGCCCACGTATAATCCCAGCACCCCGAGGCTGAGGCAGGAGGACGCCCTTGAGCTCAGGGGCAGCCGGAACTACAGAGCAAGATCTTGTCTCAAAACAAACAAGAAAGAATGTTCTATAAATGTGTTGTAACTCAAAAATGAGGCAGGCTCAAAAGTTTAAAAAGCGCTTTATTTTAGCTGGTACCCAGCGGCAACACCCGGCACAAAGTACCTAAGTGCACACCGAAGGGGGGGATCGTGGGGTTTATAAAGCTTAAACCGCAAAGCTGGGGAGGGGGGTAACTCAGGGAGTTCAAGGAGACATGGCAGCTGTTGAGACTAGATACGGTGATAGGTCTGGAGCGTTGACATTTTTGGAACTCAAGGGTGGGGTGAGGGCTTGCGGAAACAGAAGTTCTGTGAGATAGGCACACGTTTTACAGCAGTTGACATGGTTCACTAAGACGGCGCATACAGAACAGGATGGTTATAACAAAATGGAATCATAAAGTATGAGCTCTCTGGAGGGGGCTTGTTTCACTGTGGGATGCGTGCCCGTCGCACCCTTGGGATGCGTGCCCGTCGTGTATTCGTCAGCGCCCCGCCTTAGTTCAGGTGTACCAGTCCACGTTGGCAGGTGGAGACTGGCCTTTGGGCTATTGCTGGGTTTGATTTATTGCCAAGGTAACTATGACAAGTATTCATGGGCAGGTTGTGTGACTCTGAGCTTCGATATCTGTGGGGTAAATGCTGTATGTGTATGATGGGTTATGTGATAAGTGTATGCTTAGTTTTACAAGAAAATACTCAACTATTGTTCCCATTCTTGTCAGTAATGTATGATATTTGGTTTCTCCACATCATTCTATATTGGTCAGTATTATTTAAAAAAATTGTATCCCTATATCTTCTTTTTCTATATCTTTTCTTCTTTTCGTGTATCCTCTTTTGTGAAATGTCT